TGGGTCCTTTCCCCAGCAGTCATCACCAATCTGCTCTCCTCATCCCCTGAACATGAAGTGCTCTTACATATCTGCTGAGTTTAGAGGGGCTGCCGGGCTGTCAGCCCTGACTTCCTGTGCTCCACTGGCCACTGGAGAGCACCCTGTTGCCCCCAAAGCAAGACCCAGACTGGTACTGGTACTTTTCCTCCTGGAAAGTCAGCCATTTTCTGATGTCTCAAACAGGCTGGAAACCCCACGGTTCCTTGGAGGGCTGTCTAGGTCGTGAGTTGGCCTGACTTGAACAAGTCTGTGCTAATTCCAGTTTGAGCTTTTCTGACTTCAGCTTCCAGATACTGCTTTTTGTGATGGCTTTGCTCTCTCATTTAAAGAGTCCTTCAGAAGCTGGCATCCAAAGTTAGTGGGTGATCAATGAGCACGATTCCTGGCAGGGAATCACAAGCAATCATTTTCTTTATATTTCCTTCACTACCACACCCAAGGCGAATTATGCAGTGGCCACAGTCACCTCACTTTGAAACCTCTTAGATGCACAGGCATATGTACAAAATAAAATGCCATGCAGCATACTGGTGTGCTCCTACGGAGCTGTCTACACAAGAAAAGCTACAAGGCCCTGATACCCTTTTTTTGTATTACCTATAAACACCAAGTCCAGCTCGGAAGCTAAGTCCTCTGTCTTGATTTTTTTTTTTTTATTTTTTTTTTTTTTATTGCTTTAATAGTTTTATGACGATAATTAACTCAATATTTGATGTGGGGGATATGGCTCTAGTTAGGTACTCTTTGAGAGGCAATGATCTGGACAGCTGAGGCACCACATTTTGATTAGTAGTGACAGACATTGCTCCTTTAATTTGAAAGCTGCAAGGTTATTCTTTTTTACCCACACAAAACAAACCTTTTGATCATTCCAGACCTTACTCACATCCGTATTTTCTTAAAGCTACTGATCCCATCAAAAAAGGAGCAATAGTGTCCTGAACAAAATTTCTTTGAACTGTTTTCATAAATTCATTAGTTTCTCACCTTTAAGGACCTTCCCATATAATGAATAAACAGCAACTATTTTCAGAATAAAGGGGTTTCTTTCAACTACTGTGGTCACTGGAAACAGCCTTACTTCCTGATTCTTTTCAATTTCCTTGTATTTAGCTGAAACAAAAACTATTAGATAGAAGCACACAGAGAGCTTTGAACATCAGTTCTGTGATCAGCTATTAAAGCAGTCCTACAGAGGGATCTGAACAGACTGGATTGATGGGCCAAGGCCAATTGTATGAAGGCTCAGTACCAGGTACTGCCCTTGGGCCACAACAACCCCCAGCAGCGCTACAGGCTTGGGGAGGAGTGGCTGGAGAGCTGCCAGTCAGAGAGGGACCTGGGGAGTGATTGACAGCTGGCTGAACAGGAGCCAGCAGTGTGCCCAGGGGGCCAAGAAGGCCAATGGCATCCTGGCTTGTGTCAGCACTAGCGTGGCCAGCAGGGACAGGGAAGGGATCTGACCCCTGTACTGGGCACTGGTGAGGCCGCCCCTCGATTCCTGTGTTCAGTTTTGGGCCCCTCACTACAAAAAGGACATTGAATGACTCGAGCGTGTCCAGAGAAGGGCAACGGAGCTGGTGCAGGGTCTGGAGCACAGGTCGTACGGGGAGCGGCTGAGGGAACTGGGGGTGTTTAGTCTGGAGAAGAGGAGGCTGAGGGGAGACCTCATTGCCCTCTACAGCTCCCTGAAAGGAAGTTGTAGCCAGGTGGATGTCAGTCTCTTTTCTCAAGTAACAAGTGATAGGATAAGAGGAAACGGCATCAAGTTTTGCCAGGGGAGGTTTAGATTTGATATTAAGAAAAAGTTATTGCTGAAAGGGCTGTCAAGCTTTTGAACTGGCTGCCCAGGGAGGTGGTGGAGTCACCATCCCTGGAGGTATTTAAAAGATGTGTAGATGTGGTCCTTAGGGACATGGTTTAGTGGTGGACTTGGCAGTGATAGGTTAGCAGTTGGACTCAATGATTTTAAAGGTCTTTTCCAACCTAAACAATTCTGTGTTTCTGTGATTCTGTAATTTCAGCTGTGTTCAAACACTGCTTTCCTGTCTTGTCTGGGGAAGTGCCTGTCAATTCATTTTTTGTTATCAGCAAAGCCCATATACTGTGCTCATATTTTTAATATAAAACGCAAAGAAAATCCCCAAGCTGTCAGGAGGTCTGTTAGCTTGCATGCAGTCTACATCTTTGCTCTCATCCCATTGCATACTTTCATTTGCTCTCAATTGAAAAAAGCAGATATACCTACCCATGATCTTGCAAATTGCCAATCATCTGAATTTGTCAGATTTTGATGAAAGGCTTCTTTAAATAAAAAAATTTATCATGGGTTCAGCATCAGCAGCTGTACTTGATTTTAAAAGTGTTTTCTTTTAAAAAGCATCTTTGAAGATACAGTCTATTTTCAGCTCTGTAATAAATGCAACAACCTGATTGGGTTCAGTAACTCTGTATTTTAGATGACGATGCGGGACAGTGATTTGTCTTGGTGTCCATCAAAATTTATTGCATATATTGAGGCAGTCAACGTTTGAAATCAATTCAAATCCATTATAATTTTGTTGCTTTAAAAGAAAAAATAAAAACAAACCAAAACCTGACATATCTGCATTTCTACCAGGGAAAGTAATTATATCTTCCCAACATGTTAAAGCAGCATGTCTGTTGCTTGCTTAGGCACAGTTCTTCCTCTTAGCATTACATAGGTTAAACATAAATTTTATTACGAAAGGGAGGATGAAATAATAGACTGTGTTCAGTGCTTATCACTTTTGTCACATCCCATGGCCTTTGAACCTTCCAAGTATTAATGGCAGAGAATGGTCTCATCCCGAAGGCTGCTTAACTGCCTGCCCTTCCCCACCTGCTCTGCACAGCATCCATGGTTAACCTTTGGTGAGTCATTCACACTTACTTTTGGGGGTTTTCTAGCTCTTGAAACTGCTAATACTTCCTTGACCTGGTATGCAGCCCCTTATTCCCTCGCCTTCATGAGACCCTGTCAATTCTTGTTTGGTGTTGGTATGTAAAAGTACAGAAAGTACTTCGTAAAAAAAAAGAGGATTATTAATTGAGTAACAGTATGATCTGTTAGTTAGGGGACCTGTTATTCTGGGCAGAAGTGTGGGTGTTTCTGTAGCTGAGACACTAAAGGTGTTAAGGTCCCACTTCCCATTTGACCAGTGGCTTTTGCTAGTTGAAGACGTCTCTCCATCTTTTGAACAAGCAAAATAAATCTATTTGATCTGGCGGTCGTCTGGCCAAGCTAAAATGAGTCACAACAGCCCTCCAAGAGGTGAGCTGTGTTAGCTCTAGTACCTTATCAGTGCATGGTTTCTGCACTCAAGTGCTTGAGGCAATAGTGAGCAGAACTAGCCCACCTGCCTCCCACCAGCTGTGGAGCTACAGCCTTGCTTTATATCTGTGTCTGAATCCCTATCAATAAATAAGAGATTTCAAAAGAGAAAGGACCATGTAAAGCCACTGGTAGTTTTTCTACTGATGTGTTGCAGAGCCTTGACCAAAGCATTTTCAGATTCTCAATGTATACAAGTTTGACAATGATGCATATCTTTCTGTGCAATGTGCTGTGAGATTTGGGAAGAAAAATGCTGTAGAAGAGCTAGTGTTCTTGTCTTAACTCATTTGTTGTACCTAATCCAAACTAGTATTTGATCATCAGGGCAGGGCAGAAATTGGAAATTAATATCTCTTTCTTTAAACTACTGTAGGCCCATCAACAGCAAACTAATGAAACGAAGCAGATTTCCTCCCCTCAACCTGCACCACCATGCTAATGGGTAGTATAAGCTCTTACACAGCAACTCAACCTCCAGTGGTGGGCTTGCAAAGCATGCCTCCACAAACAAGCATCTTCCTCAGCATTTTCCAGTCCATGGTTTACATGCTTACACTATCACAGAAGATTAGATAGGACGCAACATGATAGGTGTTTTCCACATATCCACAGACCATTTTCAAGGAACCATAAATTCATATAATAATATTGGTTGGAAGGGCACTCTGGGGTCATGAAGCCCAATCTCCCATTCAAAGCAGGGAGAATTTTGAAGTTAGATTAAGTTGCTCATGGCCTTGTCCTCTTAATTTTTACAGTCTTCAAGGTTTCTGCAGCCACTCTGGGCAACCTGCTCCAGGATTTAATCATTCTCTATTTCCATCCTTATGCCCAAATAGGATTTCTTTTGTTACAATTTGCGTTCGTTGCCTCTTTTTCATCTTTTTTATAATCTACAACCCTCTTTTTTAGTGGTCTCAGGGTTTTCTTGCCGAGATAGAATTTTTTCAGAAGCCTCTTATATGACGTATACTTCCCTAGGAAATAATCTTTTGTTTGGTTGGTTTTTTTTCACATTATTCACAGTAAATTCTTAAGAAAATATTTAAATTGAGGCAGAGACTTTTAAGATAAGCCAGCAAAAGCCAGATTCCAAAGAAAGTCAATGTAATCTGGCACATACTTTGGACAAACTTCATTCATCTCCTTCTGCCTCTCACAGGCATTTCATTTTTGGATCGGTTCTAATGATATGTGCTTCAGAAATTTCACATTGAGTAAAAAAATGTTCTTGTTTTTTAGAGCAGAAATATTATACAAGTCAGAGAAGGGGTAGAGCAATTCAAATATGTATGGGACTGCAAAGACGAACCAAAGAAAACATGCTTGATAATTGGCATGCAAAGGAGCAACTCAACATGGTTAGAAAACTGCACAATATAAAGATGCTTGATGAAGGAAATAATCCAATCTGTCAAAGCTCCAGGACAAACAGTACAGCAGGATGTCACAGAGTGGAAAGACAAAACTGAAAGTAAAGCAAAAATGTATCAAAATTAATGCTGGTCTGGGCCATTAAGGGTCCTCAGGGCCCCAACAATCTCATTCTCAATTCTCCAACAGTGTTTTCTAATCCATGCATTTCTGTTGATTTTTCCAGGTGCTGAAATTTGTCCCTGAGGCTGGGCATCCCAGAAGAAGAGGCAGAACCAGAAACAACATGGCCTTAGTAGATATACAGCTGGATCATCATGAGCGTTGTGATTGTGTCTGCAGTTCAAGACCTCCTCGATAAAAATAAAAATAAATAAATAGGAGGAAAAAACCAAGACACACTAATTGCAGTTTACTGGACATTTACTTTTAAGCAGGATTGCTCTGAGGACCTTTACTCACTAATCATTTGAACTTTGCTACTAGCCTGCCTTTGCAATTAGCAAAAATGATTGCTGTGTTTCAGCATGGCTGCGCTGATTAGTGCCATGGCAGCTATACAGGTATATCATAGATTTATGTATCAGCATCCAAGAATATAGGATTATGGTTATCTGTAGCTAGATTCTGAAGGTTGAGATTTTCAAAGCTCACTTATAGTCCTTAGGCACACAATGAAATTAAACACCAGCTGTGTATGTATTTGTGGTAGCTGGCAGTAAAATAGCATTGTGTTTCTATTTCTCACTCACCAGTTCCTGCACTCAAATTCTGCTGCCATTTCTACCTGCTTAGCTCTCCTGATGGTCAGCAGGGTTTTGTGGGTATAAATGAAGTGAGAATTTGAGCTTGTATTGAGTGTAAAATGGTTTGTCCCACTCTGAGAGGGAACTTCCCAGTGTTCCAGCCCAACAAAGTGAGATACAATGAGGAAAATCCATCACCACATGAAATAACGCACCAGTAAATTCAAATCTCACTGTTTGTACTTGAGCAAATCATGTGCTGAAATTAGTAGATGCTTTGCATAAGCCGGGACACTGGTGGCAGTAGGGGGTTGCGGAGGCTGGTACTTTTGCCATGGTGACTCCACAGGAGCCATTGCCCAGGCTCTTCTGCAAGAGGGGGCTTCTGCCAGGTCCCCAAGTAAATTGCTGTGGGCTGGGGCCGATTCTGGTCTTTACTGACCTGGACTGGACTCCTGCCCCTTGCCCAGAGCTGCCCACAGTTGCCCAGGAGGAGCCTCCTCTACATAAAAAGGGAAAGACAACCCTCACCTTGTATCCTCCTCACTGCAGTTTGAGGAGTACTGTGTTTCCCCATGTAGGCAATGAAGATAGAGCACTTGTTCGTTGAAAATACTGATTTGTTTTGCAGTTGTGTTACTGGGAAACAAAACTGTGCTTGAGGTTTAATGATCATTATTTGGTTTGGGGTTTGTTTGTTTGACTTAAATATGGATTATTATAACTTCGTCATATATGCATTAATCTTAGTTATCTGAGGTTAGTTGTCTCATTTCAGCTCTGTGTATTGACATGGTTAAACTGTTGACAGTGAATTTCTTTTTGATTGCATTTTGCTGAGGCATATTAACTCATCAAGCAATGTCTGTCTGTCACGGAAAATGTGCATCATTTATTAACTTCCAGAAGAATATTATTAAGCACCATCTCATAATAAAATAAGCACTTTAAAAGCTACAGCATAGCTTCCTATGCCTTTTTAAATATTATGAAAGTGCTCTAGCTAAAAAAGGAAAAAAAAATCCTTCCAAACTAGCTTTAAGGTTTTTTTAATGCTGCTCCAAAAGTGTAAAATACAGGCAGATTTAAGTCTGGCAAAGAATTGGTCGTGAATGTAACAGAGGGAATGGGGCAGCACATTTAATGGCTGAGGTTTTTTATTTAATAGCAGACATAGGCTGCATCGATTCATCTTGTTTGTGTTGCCTCTTGTGTTTCTGTCTTCCCGAAAGAGTGAAGTAGTTTGACAATAGTGCATTATAATTAGTGGAAACTGGCATGTGCTATAATATAATATTGAGAGCCTTCAAGCCAGTATGTTTTAGCAATCTACAGTTTTCTTAGAAAAGTGCCCTAATGTTCTGATTTATCCTCTTTATCAGCTCAAGTATTTTATAAGTGCTCTTGTATAATTTTAGCAAAACCTTGCTGAAACATCCCTTAGAAATGTTCTGTTACTTTATTTCCTGTACTTTAACCTTTGAGATTCAGAAAGTGTGGGGTTTTTGTTATTTATATTAATTTTTCCTCTTTGGCTCCCAGATGTCTATTTAAAAATGCTTCTGAATGTTTACTTGGGAAGTGATTCATCATTTTTCAAAGCAATTCACATTAATAGAACTACACTGTAACCAAAGATCGCCAACTTCGTTTCATAGTTCAAGACTGTTTAAAGACGACTTAATTCTTTTTCTGTGTCTAGCTTAATAACATGATTGACCCATCCCTTTCACAATTTGTAGCTAATTTTGGAAGAAATGTGCATGTGAGACCTTGGCAGTGCTGGTTGTTTTAGAGACAGTGCACTCCAATGTATATTTGTGACTGAATTCTATCCAAATTATGCCTAAGCACTCTGGCCGCGTAGGTAGTATTTGTTGTAGGAAACATCCGTTTCATATGGCTTTGTGCTTTGAGTGGTCCTTTAATTCCCATCCCCCAGGGGAAAATGTGCATCCACTGTGCCTGGCATCTCCCATGCACCTCTACCTGCTCACCCGGTCTCCACCCCAACAGCCATGTGTTGGGAGGAATATTTGCATCCCTTAATTTGAGGGATCCAGCCTTGTCTGGGAGCCTGAGTTGGTGCTACAGGCAAATGGAAGAGAGAGGATCTTCCACAACGTGCCTTATCCCCCAGGTTGAAACCACCCAGTTTGGGAGCTTTTCTTTCTCTTGACTATGTAGAAAGATCAGAAGTTTGATTTGGTCCTCTAAGTGAGATGGACAAAGGTAGATGGTATGAATACTCATTTTAAAAATAAGACTGAGCAATTAATAGTTTACCTAACTGAATTACATACAGGCAGCAGGGGATGCCAGGGTACAGCAGAAAAATTCAGCTGTAAAATTGAAAGATATTGGTATAATGAGCCTTATTCTTTTGCTTAACATTGGGTTTACTTTCTTAAATATAGGCTAAACTTGTCACAAAATTTAAAGTATTACTCATGGGACACTTAGTGATGAATGGAACCATTCACTGCTTCGTGCTGCCATTTGCCATACAGGCAGCATGCTCCAGGCCTGTGCAGGAAAGCCAAGGATGGGCTTTATGTTGCCGTGAGGGGATGATAACATACATGTGAACTAAATAAAACTCCCCAAGACCGAAGCCCCAAGCTGCAATGACCCTGGTGAAACCAGACACCAGCAAAACTTTTCCTTTTATTTATTAGCAGAATTTGCCGAGATGTTTTTCCATACCTTTATTTTATCTTTTGTCTATGTAATAATTGTTATGTTGTTTACATATTACTTTAACTTAAAAAGAAAAGCTATAAAAAAACCTAATCTGGAATTGGAACCCCCCAAAATAAATACAATTTCAAAGGAAATTCAAGATTTCTAATTTCCAGCCACTCGCTAGCTTTGTATTTACTGTATTCTTCTGGGATAGAGCCTACTTTCTCAAGTGCAATCTATATATTTTTTTGTTATCTCATTTAAATGCCGCTTTCCTAGCAGTATTTTTTACTTTATGCAGTATGTAATGTGTCTTATCTTGATGAAAAAATAAATACTGCTTTTGAAAGAAGCTACTCTGAGTGATCATTCAGAATTCAGATGAACCGGTGATTTACTGGAAGTCATTTCCGCTGGAAGTCATTTCCACAACATGACACCATACATGCTAGGTGTCCTTGTGAATTTTAGCAGTCACTCCCAGGAGTATCAGGGAAGTACCAAAGTGCAATTTTGGGATAATCGAGTTTGAACCCCGGAGCTGGAAGAGCTGACAGCTTCCTTGCAAAGCAGCAGCAGCAGCGTGGCAGCAGCACAGCATTTCTGATAGATGGATTAGGGCACTCGCCCAGACTCGGTGCTGGTCTTGGCCCCCACGGTCTTGGCTTGGCTCCAGCAGATATGTCCTCACTTGTCCTACTGAAGCTGCTTCTTACTGGCAAAGGCAGCTCCTGCTGAAACTCTTTATCTCACCTGAACCAGGGCAGAGTTAAACATCCAGTTGCTGAGTGCAGGGCAGCTGGAGGAACCTAAAGCCTCTTGAGATGAGAAAATTTAATCTACCCTTGTGAGTTTGGGCATTGCCCCCGCTTTGGCAGAAGCAAATTTTGTTGTGTTGCATCTGGAACATAACCTTCATAGCTTTGATAATTAAATTTCAATTTAATGTTCTTGTGTTAAGCTAAAGCTGCCTTAGGCCTTCACTGGAACTTTGAATGAGGACATGAGTTTTTTTGCCAAATTCACTAGCTAGATGCCCTGTCTGATAAGGGAAATACAGATAGCATACAGACTGGAGACCCAGCTTTGCAGCCTGTTCTCATGCATGTGTGCCTTATTTTGTACAGCAATACCACCGACCTGGAACATTCAGCCATTCAGATGAGAATATTTATCCCCTTTAGTTTGGTCCTTGTTACTCAGAGAAAGAATTCATATATCTTTCTTTTTTTATTTTTTTCTTTTTTTTTTTTTTAAATGTCAGAAGAGACATATCCTAGCAAAGGAAGCAAGCACAGTGAACAAGAACATAGTTAATGGGTGGAGAAGACATTTTTTGCCCTTCAGAAATGCACTCAATACACTGTGTAGATAGGAGCTCAGCAATTGCTAAGTGTTCAAGGATGGCGTAAAGCTCCTCCCATCTGGCATTGCTATGTACTTATATAACTAATGGCTAGGTAACATTATCAGTTTGTCCTTGTGCTCACAAGAGTGAAAGCTTATAAATCTGCAACATGAAAAGTAGCTGTGTGTCTCTTCAGCTGAAAAATATATATATGGTTCCTGAGGTCGTTCAGGAACTCACCATTACCTTTTTTTAAAAAAAAAAAAAAAAAAAAAAAGAAAAAAAAGAAAGTATTTTTTAAACATTCTTCTCATTTTTCAGGAATGCAGAATCTTCTAGCTGATTTTAAGATCTGCAACAGCCCTAGAAAATACTTCCCTGAAAATTCATTTAAAACTCACCTTGCTCTTTTCTGCAGCACATTGCCCAGTACCAATGCTGTAATGCAAATTCAACAGATGTCTAATTTGTACTTATTCTCCTAGGGACTCCAGTGCAGCAGCTAATGAAAATGAATAAATTAGTATTCTTGTCTCTCATTCTAGGAACTTTAACTTTGTTTATTGATAGTTCTGGTCAAATATGCTAAAATATATAACATTCGTAATTTATTTGGTTGTTCATTGATGGGCCTTAAAATTTGCCTTAAGTGTTTAAAGTATAAATTCAATTTTTAATTTCTTTTCAAAGACTTCTTCAAGAAATGTGATTTCCAAAACAGCAAATATTCTGCCATGAATAGTAAGAAGGAAGTATTTTAGGTTTTAGAATATCTTCTAAAATTGATCTGACTTAAGAATTGGTCTGAAATTCCTTTATAGGTAGCAAAAATGATATTTCAAAATTGAATTAATAAAACCTGAGTTTTGAAACTGAGTTTCAAAACGTGATTTATGTATTACATATGGAAAGTTGCTGTGGCAGAGACTTGCTTTAACAAAAACGGAATTAGTTCTGTAATAACAGTTACTGTATTAAGTGCTCCAATTTCAAAGTGACAGAGGATTTATCCTTCAGTTGAAAGAATTTCAGAACCAGTATGAAAAGGATGAAAAGGATAAAAAGAAATGGGTACCTGTCCAATATTTTTTTTAAAAAATGATGATTACATAAGCAAAACCCCTTAACTTTTACTCACTGCATTTTATAAGTAATAAGAGCAGGCATCCTAACCTTTTTGTTCTGTGTTTGAGTTTGGAGAGTATCATCTCAAGTAGTGAGTACACTGAGATGAGCTCTCTCAGATCAGTGTGAAATCAGTTTACCCTCTCCAAGATGAAGATAGTCTGGAGAAACACCCTTTGTATCAATAGAATTCTGTTAAATCTTTCTATCCACTGTCATAGTCACAGACTTTTACCAAACAACAAATAAACAAATCAATTTGGTTTCTTAATATGGTATTTCCACTTGTACCTAGTATATGAAGAAAGAGGAGTCCCTCCCCAAAAATGAAAAACTATTATTCATTGAG